CTCTTTCCTGCTTAAGCCACTTAGAAAACAAAACCAAACCAAGCAACCCCAGAAAAGTAAAGGTTTCCAGGAGTTTAAAATTAACAACCACACAGTGACTCAGTACTGCATAAGTACTGTGGAAAGAAAACAAACAACAAATTCATATGAGAAGATGAAGGTCAAACCCTGAGTGTGAAAATAGGTCACAAAAAGGGATGTCTTCGATTACTAATAGGTCCAAGGTTTATTTTGGGGGTGGATGGGAATGTTGTAAAATTAACCTGTAGTGATAGCCCACAGCTTTGTAAATATACTATATAGCCATGGTACACTCGAAATAGGTGAATTTTATGGTATGCAAATTATATGTCAATAAAGCTGTTAAAAAAGGAAAAAGAGAAGAAAAAAGAAAGTCCTGAAAAGACAGAAACCACAGAATGGGCAAGTGAAAATGAACTCAGAAAAGAGATGATGGCAGTTTCACATCAGTAACACATTTATTCTTTACTTTCTCCAGCATATTTCAAGGTACCCTTTTAAGAATATGGGAATGGATTAAATAAAGTTTCCCCAACATATTCTTTTAAAAAGCTGAACCCTCTTCCCTTTCTTCACTCACCCAGGGGATCTGATTGTCCAGAGTGGCCCCTTTTTCTAATTTACATAAGGATACTCCACAGGCTAGCAGTGATGCTGCTAACTTAATCAGGTGGAACCATAAAGCATGACAAGTCTAGCGTATATAACTACGACATTATCTCAAATTTTAAATGTCTGGCAAAAATGAATGTTCCTATATTTCATACCTCCTTTATTTCTATTTCAAAACCCCATTTAAAATTTTTAAAATGTTTATTTACTTTTTACAGAGAGAGAGAGAGAGGCAGGCAAAGAGAGAGGGAGACACAGAATCTGAAGCAGGCTCCAGGCTCTGGGCGGTCAGCACACAGCCCAACGCGGGGCTCGAACCCATGAACTGTGAAATCCTGACCTAAGCCAAAGTCCTATGCTCAACTGACTGAGCCACTCAGGCACCCTCAAAACCCTTTTTGAATAAAGGGTGATCTGATAAAATAGTCTGATCAGGAGACAGAAGGGATCACTGAGAGGCTCTTTAATTTTCTAAACTTGTTTAGCCCCTTTGCTGATTTCTCAGACAAATGGTTACCAAATAACTAATTACCCTGAAATATCTGACTTCAGTACATTAGAAAGGAAAGAGGCAGATTGAACTTAATTATTATACCTTATAAGATTACTAATTGTGACATTAAATACTGTCAGAAATCCAAAACAAATGTTCTTTCTTTTAACTCTAATTAAACTTAATTTTCAAATTAATATTAATTTTTACATATTAACAAAATATTTTTTTGGCCAGGGGCAGATTTAGCAGAAAGATAAATCTCAAGTGTTTTCAACAAGCAAAGGCTGAAAACACCATCTGGGTGGACAACAGCTTAGGTAAAACAGAATTAACAATCTGCCTCTACCTGTAAATGTCCTCCATCCCTGCTGATAAGAGAAGCAAGTTTTAGAATGCATTTGATAGCTTTAAACGTTCAAGAGAATATCTAAGACCTGGTTTTTCTTCTTTTTTTAAAAACTTTTTTAATGTTTATTTATTTTTGAGATAAAGAGAGAGAGTACAAGTTGGGGAGGGACAGAGAGAGGGAGAGACGGGTGGGGGAAGACACAGAATCTGAAACAAGCTCCAGGCTCTAAGCTGTCAGCACAAAGCCCAACACGAGGCTCAAACTCATGAACCTCAAGATCATGACTTGAGCCAAAGTCAGAGACTTTATGGACTGAGCCACCCAGGCACCTCTAAGACATGCTTTTTCTACATTTTCCTCTCTCTAACCAAAATTAACATATATCTCCAATTTCTAATAAGGATTATAAATTATTTCATTTTCTGAGGTACAGATGACTTTTTTTTCATCTTCCCACAAACTTGCATACATTTCAATAAAAGAGATTTACTCATTTATTCTAACATGTTTCCTTTATGTTATTTATATTACATAGCATTATGACCTAGGTTTAGCCATTCCTCATGGAATTATTGGGGATAATTAGCAGGTCTAAAAGTAGATAATGAAAGTGAAGTTCAGGCAGGTCACGATAGGCCCAGAGTCCTGCAGATATTCAGCCTTCTAGTGCATGTTTTTTATTACACTTGCATGCATTAATATTTCATGTACTAGAGCCAGGACTATAGTTTATAATAATAGATTACATTTGCAGGAGCGTATAGCAGATGTGTGTGTGTGCGTGTGTGTGTGTGTGTGTGTGTGTGTGTGTCTATATATCCATAAAACATTTATATGTTGCTTCTGTTTGGTTTTGCTTTTACCCAGTATCCATGTATTCTCCCTTGATAACTGAATGCTGAGAACTTCCATTTAGGTAAACAGGTACAGAGGCTTCAGCCAATCACCATCCCCTGGCTGTGGCAATTAGTTCTAGGAAAAGCATGAGTGTTCATTTAGAGCCAATTAGATGCAGTAAGCCTTATTCCTGAAACTTCTAGGAAAAGCATCTCCCTTTTTCTCTGCATCTTTTTTTACTACTATCTGAGGGAAACCTGAATGACAATGAGGCTAACTCAGAGGAAGTGAGGAAAGGAAAGAAAGGAAAGAAAGGAAAGAAAGGAAAGAAAGGAAAGAAAGAAAGGAAAGAAAGAAAGAAAGAAAGAAAGAAAGAAAGAAAGAAAGAAAGAAAGAAAGAAAGAAAGAAAGAGAAGGAAAGAGAGAAATATGATCAAGGTGATACTTACTGTTTGTTTTTTTTTAAACAGACACTGTGTAGTGCTTACACTGGGCCAGGCATAGTCTTAAACACTTTACAAATATAATTCATTTAATCAGGTGGGTACATTTACAATCTTGACATTATAATTAAGGAACTTGCCTAATGTCACCCAACTAATAGATGAAGGAATAATAGGGATTTGGACCCAAATGATCTGGCTCCGGTTTCTGTTCTCTTATACTATGCTATGGACACATGTTTGGCCTTTACATTAATGGTAAGGAAATACATAGTTAACAATGGGTTCTCAGGAAAAAAGAAAGAGAAAAAAAGAAGGAAGAGAGAATGGATGACTATCCCTAATTTGTTGCATTTGCCAATTTCTCCAGTACAAATATTCTCACTATGGCTGATTTCAAGCTATTTACATGACATCATCAGGTTTGCACCATTCCTAAAAACTTAATAACCAGAGAGTTGGTGCAAGCCAACTGCTGTACTACACTACTGGAGCTGACACCAAATCTCCCTCTCACAAGACTGTATTTTTGTGAATCTACGAAGTTCCTTTTGGTTTAAGCCATTTTGGGTTAGGCTTTACGTCTCCTGCAATATTAAGGGGTCCTATCTGATTTCAAGTTTCATGGATAATGAAATACTTTCACGGAAGCTACTCTTTGTCATATGAGATGTCCACAGTAACCTCATGAGATGGGCAAATCACTCATCAGTAGTCCCATCTTAATTGATTAGAAACTGAGAGTTGAGGGGTGATGAATTTCATCTGCATAGTACTGACGACATAATTTGCCAGACCGGATGCAAAATGAGAATGCCAGAATTGGGTCCCTTGTTCAAAAATTATTAAGAATTTCAAGATGATGACAGCAGAGCATTAAGCTAAGTGCAGGGGACTTCTGAGACCTGGGCCCTGAGTGATTACCCAGGGTCAGGTGCCATGAAGGTGGCCCCAGGTCTGTGTCACTCAGCTGGTCGGGCAGCCTCTAAACTAAGATCTGTAAGTGCCATAGCCCTTACACTGGATCACAATATTTCCCTGGAAAACAAAAGATGTGTACATAATACATTTCTATATGGAATTTGTTCCTTAAGTTATTAATGATAACTACATGTTGTATAGTGGATCAGTTTCAAGTAAACACACAATTGACTCACTTAAAGACTCCTATGTTGCAATACCTATATATTAGACCACAAGTATATCCAATCTTAATTTCTTATTTACATTTTGTTTCTGTTAGGCAAAGTTAAAATAAATCATACCATAAATTTATTGAGCTATTTAGATAGCACATTTTTTACTTTTCAGACAAAGCTAGAAAAAGAAAACAAATACTATTTCACATATCAGATTTTTAATGATTCTATTGATATATTTCCCCTACCTCTTCTACTCTCCTTCCCACACATACAATACACACACAAGTGCCTTCATTTTGAAAACTTAGGTAACTCCAAATATCCTAAGGATTTTTCTTAAAACAAACAAACAAAAGACAACCTTTTATCTTCCACTATAAAATTTTTTAAGTACCCCAGTTACCCTCTTCCTCATGGAAAATGTGGACCTAAATACAGCTGTTTACAGTGCAATTAACTATTTTTCAAAGTGCTGAGCTAAGTCTAATGGGTTTTATTACTGGGATTCTCACATTCAAAAATCATCATAACCCGTGACAATATTCGGTGATATATGATAATGGAGGAATGAAATGGGAAAAAAAATTTTATATCAGATAAAATGTAGAAGTTGCATTATGCAGTTTTATATAACATCTGGGTTCTACTACTCAATTCTTGATGATTTAAAAAAACAGAAATTTCACCACAATAATCAGCTAAATAATGCTTCAAATTTAATCTGTGCAAACAACCAGCAGATAGTTTATCATGAATTATAACCAAGAAGCAGAGGCTCAATATAAACGTTGCTCTCAACATTTCTATTTACCTGTTGACTAACCCAGGCTATTTAATTTTCATTTATGCTTGAAACATTAGAAGCTGAGAAGAAAAATATTCCAGCTTGTTTCCCTAGAAATATGACAAAATGGTCCAAGTAAGTAAATCCATACAGTGGTATGCTTTAAAGATGATTTTCTAAAGTATTTTAAAATTACAATATTTGTTAATGAATAATGAAAATAAACGTGCCGGCGAAGAGGGGGCTTTCTACTTTGGCCCTGAAAGGAGAGGACTTCAACCCTACGTGATTTATCCATTACCTGTAGGAATATTACCTGCTCAGATCTGTTCTGGTGCTGGTATTGGTACTGAGACAAGGTGTTACAAGAAGAAGCAATTTTGTCCTTCTCAAATTGTTTCTTCACTCTCGCCAAACCACCAGGCACAGTGCACATTTCAGATTCCTCTATCATCTAAGATAATTTAAGAAAAAGGAAGATTCAGCTTTATATCTGCTCAAGATGGAATTTTCAAGCCATTATTTTTTTATAGTTGACAATTATTGATGGGTGGTATATTAAAAAATATGAACATACACGATTATTTCAGCAGGCCCTTATAGAAAACCTTAATAAAAATAATCTCTCCATGTTGTTTTCTCATTTATCAGTTTTTTGATATAAAGTCAGAGGGAACTTCAAAATATTGAGTTAATTCTCTTTATCGCAGATAGATTTTGATATCTGGAGATTAAACCTGTAGAATGTATTTCTCTAATAATACACAGACTCATAGAAATGAGAATAATGGATTCAATTTTAACCCACAGTAAGGTTGTCATTAAAATCCCAAATATCTACATAGGCAACACATTATTAAGAATATTTAAAACATCTGACTCATCCCAAAATGTATTTAAAACACTAAAATAATCCTCTCTTGCTCAAAAATGTCAATATCAGTAATAATAACAACCACTTAATATTAGTGCTGAGTGATTTCTATGTGTTTACATATATCTTGTCATTTAATGTATCTCCAGCCCCTGTGAGATATGGGCATTTAGCCTCATTTTCAAGTGAGGAAATTGGTATTTGGGGAAGTAAGGCAACTTGTTAAGTTCTCATAGCTGCGGTGTATGTAGGAGCTGAAATTTGAACCCCTATCTGTTTTAATGACTGCTGTTTGTCTTAATCACTAGTACCGAAGGAGAGGCAGAAAAACAGCTCATCCAGGATTGGCATACCCCAGGACTCCGCGTTTAGCATTGTTGTGCAAGAATCAGAAGGTTTAACGTTAGAAACATTCTAGGCTATCACTGGCATTTTGCAGAACGGAAAGCCTAATTCAACAGGCATCATTTGGAACAACTTGAAAAACACTGAGGAACCTTGTCAGATCTCACGCCCCTGTGGGAAGTGTAGTAACTTAAGGATTTGGTTTTGATGATTCAACACACTCCTCAGCCTAGCGGGCACTCAAACCCAGATGGGATGATAAGTCGCAAGCAAACAGGCCTCATGCCAACCAGCCCTCCTCCAGGAAGCTTGGAGGTCTGCTTAAAACTGGGAAGAGATTCAGCAATGCTTCACACTACAGGAGGTCTCCTGAGGTCTGGCCCAGTCCTGACATAACCTTGAAGCCTTGAGACCTGACAGTAACTGGATACTGTGAGCTAAGGCCTCCATAACATGGACTGTGGACGCCTGGGATCCTGGAACCTCTACTCCAATATGCAGTTTCTCAAACTGATACTGACAATACAACTATTATCTTGGGGTTTCCCATATTCCAAAATACTGGAGGATGAATCAATACTCAAGATTATCTAAATTAATAGCAACTTTAAGTGGTTGCTCTAGGAAGTTCATAACCTTTCCCTAGTTCCATAAACTATCCAATATTTAAGAAAATGTGTACTTGCTATCTGGGAAGACGGGATAAGAATGTATAGCTATATGTTTTAGATGTATATTCTATCAAATTCTGCAACAAACTTCAAATATAAATCCCGGCCTGTTACTGCCATTTGATACATGTTAAGGTCATTAGAAAGTATGGCATCTATTTTGAAATTTAAGATAAAGAAGGGAAAAGGTGAATTAAGGCCACAATATTTCTTGTACCTCCCCCCTTGCCATTTAATGTACATAAATGGCCTTCCTTGATTGATCAGACATAGATAATATATGAGTATTAAATTATGGAAATTAAGGCAATTATGGGTAAGAAAAAGCCCGCTCTTTCTAGCAACTATAAACATTGTCCAAATCATGTGCAAATTAATCTAATAAGCCTCAGTAATTATGCTAATGACTGAATACTTTCCTAGTAATTGCATTTTCACAAAAATATCAGTTCTGATACCGAACATGTTGCTTCTCATCTATCAAATGGATTAAAAAACCGATAAACCGGTTCCTTTCCTTTAGCATTGCCCTTCGGAATCAGACCACGTTACACGTGTTGGTTATTTTTTATCAGTGGTACTACTATTGTACACTATTGCTGCTGCTCACCCACCTAAGTGAGGAAGTTCTTTGAGCTGTAGTCCGGTGGTGGGCCTATGGTTTCTTTATTCAGCTCAGCTTGTAAATGGAGGTTTACATATGTTAGATGGAGGACGAGCTCAAGGAGCAGTCTGCGGTCACCAGCTGGCGTGAGCTTTCCTTGCTCAGGTGAAGAGCCTACCCGTGACTTTCCCTTGTTTAGCCCCATCTACTATACATCTCAACTAACCCACGTTATTGTAAATGACCACATAACTTAGATTGCTTTGTATTAAACATTTTTAGGTTTATCTTTATTCAATGTTTCTTATTCTTGGACTCGGAAATAAGATTTGGAATCTAATGGGTATGCCTATAATAAGGAGGCCATTTTATTGACAAACTGATTTAAATACCTAACACAGAATCTACTTAATATGAAGTTATTTTAATAATACGGTAATTTAGCTACCTAACACTTACCTAGGCTAATACATTATACAATCATCTATTTTCTTCACAAAGAACTGACCTTGGGTTCCGGGACACAGTAGACATAATACAATTTGGGGAATTGGACAAATATAATTCTAATCCCAGTTCTGACATTTAAAAACCTTAGACTAGAGTTTGTGAACCTCAGCTGTATTTCTGATAAACTGGGAAAACAATAGATTTTCCACATATTTCTTGTGAGTGCTAAAAAAGATAAGGAAAGTAAAACTGCACAGCACAGAATCTGGTATTTTAATTCATTGCTTAACAAGTGTTACCTCCCCCTTCTCTTCTAGGGTGCTTCTGCACACCACTGCCTTTCCATAGGTGTGACTTTTATTTAGGTTCAACTACATCCCATCTGGCTGTGGCTAGGATCATCAGAAACCGATCTCAATGTGACTGAAATATAATGGATTCAGTTTGGGGCCAAATCAGAGGCTTTCAGATTAGGCACATAAACTAACTTAGATTATTTGTGTAGAAGAAATGTTCTTAAAGGCAGTTTACGTATTTTTTTTTTTTTTTTGACAGAGAGTAGGAGGAGGGGCAGAGAAAAATGGGGGGAGAGAGACTCTTAAGCAGGCTCCATGCCCAGTGCAGAGTCCAATGCGGGCCTTGATCCTGTGACCCTGAGATCATGACCTGAGCTGAAATCAAGAGTCTGATACTTAACCAACTGAGATACTCAGGCACTCTTCCATGATTTGTTAACTGAATACACATTTGATGTATCTGACCAGAGAAGGCAGTAAGGTAGTAGGTTTGTTTTCCTTAGATATTTACCAGGATTTCTCTGAGATAATATATGTGCTCTCCCCTCTCCCAATATTTACTTAGGGCCAAACCAAATAATAGGGCATTTGCTGGGCCACAGATGCTTTCTGTATGAGAGGAGGCAGTTGAATACAGTTAAAAGAGCACAGGAGTCCAGAGACCAGGAATTTAGCCTGGCTTTGTCACTAATACATCATGGCCCATAAATCTCTCCCCCTTGGTTTGTTTTGACTGTAAATAAGCAGAGAAGAGAAAGATTATTAACTATTTTAAATGTAGGCTACCTTCATAATAACATTACATTTTTTTTGCTTTTGTATTAAATAGTGGGGTAATTTAGTTTTCTTAGTGCACGATTTAAATATTCTCTTTTTCAGCACAGTATGGTATATTCTCCTAGTGCCTGTAAAGATTAAAATCTTCCTAAATTAAAAAAAAATGTTTGCTAAGTAACACCTCTTTCACTAGGTACTTTCAAAGTCACTTTGTTTTCCCAAGTATCTTTTCTCCACTTTAGAACATGAATTTGTAGTAAAATTCCCTAATGATCCAGCAGGGGGTGCTATCTAAGAAGACTGGCAGGAGGCACTGACTGGAGCGATACTATTTATTTTGGAAGAGATCTAGCTACTTCTGTGATTTCTGTACATTCATTCAAAATCCATGCTGCATCTAAAATGGATTTTAATGACTATGTAAAAACTTAAATGCCATTTAGAATTACAATATTGTTAATGAGTTTGGCACAGTCAGCCTTGTCTCTAAATAATTTGTAAAGAAGAATGTTAAGAGTAGCTATTTTAGAATGCCACCCTTCTTGGCTATTCTTTCTCTCTCTTTCTCTTTTGGCTAAATGAACAACTTTGCTAATTTGGAGATTATAATTATAAAAGAGCATCCTTATATTCCATTAAGCTATAAAGCTGCTACTAATAAAATGACTCATCAAACCCTGTGGATTGAAGGCCACAGATGATAGAACCCAACAAATTCTTTTGAACATGACTTTATTATGCTTTGGCTCTAAAATTGGTGGTCCTACTGAATCCTGCTGTTTCCTATAATCATAATTGGTTTAGCAGAGTGCCTACATTGCTAATCTCCCTCATTTCTATGTTGATTAAGCTACTCCTAATGGATTTAGTGCATACAGAGAAATGAGAAAAGCAAAAAAAAAAAAATTATATTGCCAGTGAATTTAAATGAACTATACATGAGACCAAGGAGGGCGGCATGCAGACCCACATTATTAAAATTTGAAATTAATTCCCAACCTTCCTGAGGAGAATAGCTATAGGTTAAATGATAATGATGGCAATAATAACACATTTATACTCTGCCTTATGGCTTACACGTAAATTATCTCTTTGACTTCTCTCTAAGACCCTCTGTGGTAGATGGCTATTCCCATTCAGTTAAGGAAACTGAAGCTCAGAGAGGGGTTAAGATAGTAGCCCAATTCACACAGCTAGTAAGTAGCAGCACTGAAGCCTCAATTCATATCCTTGACTTTGATCAACACTGTGTCTGTGCTTTCTCTGCTTTATCCCACCACCCAGTGGTATTCTTGCACTGCAGTGTAAGGAGAGTGTGTGAAGGGCAGACAAAAAGCACACTGGCTAATGCGGAACCACCAGGAGCAGCTTACATTGGCAGAGAAGCTGCGGCAGTCACCCCTGGAAACAGCTGCCTGGTACCTCGCCATTCGCTCCTTCAAGGACACCACCTCCTGGAGGTCTGACACGCCCTCGCTCTGTGCAGCACTGTCTTCTGCAAATCCACTCGCAGGCTTATTAGGGCCAACAGTCACTGCAAACAAATGTAGCATGCTCAGATATGTGTTTCAGGCTTTGAAAAGAAAATAGCATCACCTTACAAACAGAAAAGGCATTTAAAATATCTGCCCTCATAAAACAGACTGCATCATTTCACAGCACTCTATTTGCAATGTTCCACGGTTGCCCTCTTTTCTTTGAGCTTTCAAGCAAAGCTACAAAATGCCTATACAGGAGCATATGCTTATGAGAACATCAAACAAAAATATTGTTTCTACTCCTACTCCTGTGCTTATTCTGATGAAAGACAGTGATTTATTAAGAGCTTCATAATGTTAGTAATGAACATTCCTGAGGCACCGTGGGTTGAATTTTAGGTTAAACGCAGTAAGCGCATTATCTCACTTGCTTCTCTTGTTCTCTAACAACCACATGAGGTAGATGCTATTATTTTCTAAAATTTATAGGTAAGAAAATGGAGAGTCACAGTAGTTAAAAAATTTTCCCATGATCACATAATTAATTAGAGGCAGATGTGATGGGTGGACCAAATCTTTAGCATGTCTAAAACCTACTCTTTGCTTCTCTCCCCACTCCTTAACACTCAGGGAGATGGATCTAGCCAAAATAAGTGATTGCCATGAGAATTATAGACTGTGGATTTATTTCCTTTATTCACAGAGACGAGAATACACGAGAAAAAAATAATAGTACTGTTAGAAAAAGCTTTGTCAGTCACCCATTTCAGATGGCCTGATATTTCCCCATTTAAGCCATCTACTTGACAAAAATACATGGTAACAGGAATTACATACTCAGAAACAGAGCAAAAGACTGATTGCATGATCACAGAATAACAGTTGTTAGAAACAGAAAGGTCCTAAAAACCATATAGTCTTACCTAATCTAACCAGCTCTTTTTGGCAAAGGGAAACACGTTTCCTTATGTGAGAGGAAGACAAGTGCTCTCTGTGGTTATGTGATTCTCTATGGTTTTTTAGTTATATGTGCCAGAGCTGGTCTCAAAACTAGATCTTCATATTTAATCTAGTGTTCTTGGCTGTTATCACTTTGCTTGATGGTTTACTATTCACTTTTAAAGAACTCTAATTCCAAAACCATTGCAAGGCTTCCTTCTGGGACCAATCATATACATATGTGTATGCATGTATGCATATATATTCAATACTCATTCATGCTCTCCCTGCCTTTCACCTTAGGGCTGGTAGTTTCTGGAGCTCATGGAGTAGGGCTCATTGGTATACTTTATTTGGATTGGTTTGATTTCCTCACTGTAAATCAAGGCCTAAACAATCCCAGGTGACAGATACCCACGTTGTTTCTTTTCTTTCCTATTCTTCCTGCCTCCTCCCCAAGCTCCCACATTGAACCATCTTATAGAATTGTTTGCTTTCTCTATTTTCTTTTTGTTTAAGGTTTATGTACACAATAGCAGTTGAGAACAACCTATGTGATCAGAAAAAATTAAAAACCATTTGTGTTTTGGCTCCCTGAGTATCTGGTTTTCCATAAGAACTTCTTATTCAAGTAAACATTTTCATATATTTCAGTTAAAACTGTAAATATATTTTACTTAAAATGCTTTCAAGAAATACAAAATATACAGGAATACGAAGTTGTGATATATGAACACTATGACTGTATAACACTGATTTGTTCATAACAAATGTCAGTTATATTTGAAATTCACCTGTCATTCAAAACTTCACATTAATACAAAGGTACATTCCTTCAGTTGATTCTGATAAGAAGACGACATTCTCACCTGCCACTGAAAGTCTTTTACATGATAAAGAAAATATATCTTTATTTCTCTCTGTGGATTATCTATTTGCACAGACGAATTCAGTTTATATTCAGCTGTGCTATTACTTTGTTGTGAATGATTACTATACAGATTTTATTGATCATGACTCCCTAAAGTTTTTCCACATTAAAATACAAATTTTGTATATTGTTCATAAAGATGTTCTTTTATTTATCTTAACAGAAAGTCAGCAGTTTATTTTTGCTAAAATTTACAGACGGTATTTATTTTTTAAATATTTGAGTTTTATCATTTTTCATCCTACTGGGAAATGCCCAAGACTAGTGGTCAGGAAATGAGTGGCCTGATTACTAAGAGATTTGGATTCCATTGCCTTGTGGCCTTTGACTTTGATCACAGACAAGACACTACGTTTTAATCTCTCCATCTCTCCTTCCTATCTGTAACCTTGCCCGCACAGGGAGTCATGGAGTAGAAAAATTACCTAGAGTTAACAAGCTGTGTTCATATTGTTTCCTAACCTTCTAACTCGATTCCTATCATTTTCTTCACCTGAAAAACAAGGTGATGCTTCCTGCCCACTGTACTATAAAACAGTGTATCTCTCAGCTCCTATCTTAATGCTGATGACACCTGATGTAACTTTTTAAGGTTGATAACACAGCCTCTTTCCTAGGGATAAGTGAGGAAGAAGACAGAGACCTTGGTCCCCTGATCTCATACTGTGCTATTTCAGAAGGCTTGACTCCAACTGAAATTGGATAACAGTGTAAAATGAGTTTAGGGAACATTTAAAAAGAGAGGTGACAAAGAACAAATAAAGATGCTCTTGTCATAAAACACCTATGGAAAAATAGGGGGAAATTTGCATACCTGTAAGTATGCAAATCAGACTGTGAAAGAACATGCCATAAGGCTAAAGTGGTCTGTGAAAAAAGAAAGGAAAAAACAAACTTTTCAAATGACTATTTCTGTTAGAAGTCATTGTAAATATTAACATCACAAAATCATTGTACTAAAATTGACTTGTCTCTGGGGCTTAGTGGTAATTCATTGTGCAGATGAGTATGAAAATCCGAAGAAGTTCAGTGAATTCTCCCACATGTCCAGAGTTAATGGCATAGCTGGACACAGAACTCATTGCACCCTAAACATCAAATGCTTTCTTTTGTTCGCTGATGAGAAAATAATTGCTAACCACCCCCCCCAAATATTCATTCTTTTTATAAGAGAATAAATTCTATAAAGTAGAAAGAACATATAAGTAAGCACCTTGGAAGAAAATATATCATAAAAACTGTAACATACCAAGGATAAGAATGTCTTTTATAAGAAGTCTGAGGTTCTTAGGAAAAATACTTACATTGTTATTTTTTGTAATATACTACAGATAGGTCCACTTTCTATTTCCTTCAATAATGGAGATTATGTTACTACAGATCTGTTTTCTCGAGAACCAAACATGCACTTTTCCTCTGCAGTTTTTACAAACAAAGTGACTAAATCAATCGACCAACAAAATTTGCCCAGTGACAGAACTCATGTCCTCCTAAATTCTTTTTATGGAAAGTCCATGCTTAAAGCATTAAGAAAAAGCAAAGTAGTACAATATAAGATCGTATGCTCTTCTTTTCTTGACCAATTATTCACATGCCTGTAGTCAGTCACAGAAGGATGCTTAGTCACCTTCTGTGTTTCCCTGGAGTAAAATAATAGCTTTAAGAAGTCAGACGTTGGACAACTTAGAAGAAATGGACAAATTCCTAAACACACACTCACTACCAAAATTCACACGGGAAGAAATAGAAAACCTGAACAGACCCATAACGAGTGAAGAAATCGAATCAGTGATCAAAAATCTCCCAACAAATAAGAGCCATGGACCTGATGGTTTCCCTGGGGAATTCTACCAGACATTTAAAACAGAATTAATCCCGATTCTTCTCAAGCTATTCCAAAAAATAGAAGTCGAAGGAAAACTCCCGGACTCATTTTATGAAGCCAGCATCACTCTGATTCCCAAGCCAGACAGAGATCCAGCAAAAA